AGTCCCTGTGGGTGCTGCCCCATCCGAGCTGAGGGGCTGTGTTTACCCTGGGGTTTTGGAGCCTTGCCGCGGGGAGGTAAAAGGGGACGTGAGCCTGCAGGCCTTTCCCTGTCGCCGTCAGCTTTGCTCCTGCTTTTTCGGTGACGGGAGCTGGTTTCACCTCTCTTGGCGTGGGCCACCGGCCTGGCGCCCCAGAACCTGTGGTGGAGCTGGGGGCACCCGCGCCAGTTTTGGAGAGGGGGTTTGGCCCCCTCTCTGTGGGGGTAGGCCGGCTGCTCAGCTGCACTGGGGTCAGAGTCATGTTGTTACTACTATTGTGAAGCGATTTTTAACTGATTCGTGTAATCCCTTTCCGACATGTAGGTTTGTTCACAAAAACCCCAAACCTATAAACAGGTCCTATGAATTTTGCTGTGGAAAGTACAGGTTTTTTCCTTTAGTTTTCTGCTTTTCTTCTCCTTGGACAATTGTTTTTAGGACTGGGGAGGTTTCACTGGGGAGCTTTCAGTTGGAATAATGTGTCCAGCTGCGCAGGCAATGTTCAAAAAAAAGGCATGTAAATTGGGAGGAGAAGTGATGGTGCAGGGAAAAATTACTGATACAGGTATGCATGCCTAGCCTGTATTTTCATCCTGTAGACAGTTCTCTTGCATTTCTTTTGGCTCATTTTTAATGTTACTATTTAATAACAGTGATGTTCTAACCTAAAGGAGGTTGCAAAATGAAAAAACAAACCTATTCTAAAAATTATTGCAAACTTGCCCCCATGCCCCCCGCCCCCGAGTCTGCCACCTGCAGAAAGGAGGAAATAAAACCCTAATGCACTGTGAAGGATTTCAGATTTTGAGACATGCTTGGCAACAGTTACAGTGTCTCAGTTAAACTTTGCTATTTATGAGGATTCCTTCTGTCCTGGTTCTGCCTTTAGGTCAAGAGGCTTATACTGTAATTTGTAAGAGTAATTAGCCAAATTCATATATTGATACATGCAGTTACAGTTGAGAAGCATTCAGTGTTTTGGAATTTATCCAAAATTTATGGTATTTATGCTTCAGCTCCAACCTGTGTATTTGGAAGTCAAAATTGAGATTGAGTATCTACGAAAAATTTGGGATTTTACGGTTTCTTGCTAGAAGCCTTTAATTATTAACAAAGCCATGGTTTTAGTTAGCATTTTTTACTTAGGACTTTACAAGAATGTACCTCATGTTATTTTCATTGCTAATGCAGGCAATAAACTCAAGAAGATGAAGCCTAATAAAGGAAAGACCTGCACTAAGGAGAGAGACTATGTGTACAAATTCAATGCTGGAAATCAACATTTGGTGCTTACTGTGCCTCTCAAATTCCCTGTGCAAGAGAATATTAGTCATTTGCATGGACGTCTAATGCTTCTGCACAATCTGCCGTGCTTTGTAGAAAATGGTAAGAATTGATTTCTTAAATTAGTATCATATATCCATGTCCATAAGTGTCTTACAACCTGCTTTAAGAAACTGAAAGAAGGGTATTTTCTAGAACAGTCTTAAAAAAAATTGATTTTAAAACAGCAAACCATTAAAGAAAATTACTGGTAGTGCTAGCAAGTAAGATGCCCAAGTAAAAGGTTTTCAGTAGAACTTTAGTTGCATGTTTCATAGATGATTACTGATACTTCCACTGACATGTTTTGTTGATGGACCATTTTCTTCTTGTTATAATAGACCTGAAGCAGTCTCTTAATAAGTTCATAGAAGAGGAAACTATAAAAGATTATGATAGAGAAGCTGAAATGGCTCTGGAAGCAGTGAAATCAGGAAAAGTAGACATAAACCAGTTGGCAGATACTTGGGCTAAAGCTTATAAAGAGGTAAGATTAAGACTGAAAAGTTAATATTCAGGACTTGCTTTGTGGGAGTGTGTGTGCATGTACAGACAGAATCACATCTGTGAAGACGCAAATTACACTGAAATTCACTTTTACTGATCAATTCTTAGAATTTTTTCTTTTTATCTGAAAGTGATCATTAAGTGTTCATCCTACAAGTTCTCAGTCAGTTTTTTTCTGAATTTAGTAGCGTTAAAACATACAAAATTGAGAGGCAAGTAGCTAGTGATAGTCAAACAAAAATAGACATAAAGTTTATAGTGCATTAGAATCAAAGCAAGAGATTAGTAAAGTGGTACTCCTATCCTAAATCTCAAAAATAGCAATGAAGATTCCAAAGAGAAAGTGTATAGTTGGAAGAGACACTTCAGCTCATTTTCTAAGTTCACGTGACTATTTTATATTATTTAGCAATGATGAGGCTTTGGCTGGAGTAATGCATCCAGTTTTACGTGTGATGCTCAAAACAGAGGAATGTAAAAGAACTGCAGGAGTCCTAGCGGAAAAAAAAAAATTACAAAAAATGCTGCCTTTGAGGAAAAGTTTATAGGAATTGAATTTGCTTACCATGGGATATAGAAGAATGTTTTGAAAAATTCCAAAATATTCGTCTGCTGTTAGTTGCTTTACAAGAAAAAGGATATGGGAAGGGAAAAAATATTAAAGCTGAAGCAGAATACAGAAAGCTCAAATTAGGAAAGGTAATTCATGTATGTTGAAGGTTGTGCATGCCCAGTTGGTTTTGCCCCACCATTATGAAGGATCCTTATATGTCCTTTAAGGTACCATATGCTTTAAAATCTTTTATTATTTTTAGACAACATTAGAATATGCAAAACCTGAAGAAACCAGCTGGGATGAAGATTTTGCAGATGTTTATCATGATCTGATACATTCTCCGGCTTCTGAAATGCTGCTAAACCTGGAACACAATTATTTTGTTAGCATCTCGGAATTAATAAGTGAAAGAGATGTGGAACTGAAAAAACTACGGGAAAGGTATTCCTCCCCGCCCCCCCGCCTCATATTAAATAGGGGTGCATGCCACTGTGTGTATGCAACTCATAGGACAAGTTGTGTCAACTTGTAATTGTCCATGTAAGCCCTATTTTAGTTTCATGGTTTCCCTCTTTAAAGTCATATAATACTTACATTGTTATGTAAAGTCACATAATACCTATATTGTTAGGCTCAGCTATGTTGTATTCTCCTCGGTCGTTGAAAATAATAAATGCTAAGGCCGTCAAAGTAATATAAGGTTGTATTTCCATTGTTTCATCCATGTTGTAAGTGGTATAGTGCTTAGGATATCTAGAAAACAAAGTATGAGCAGAAGACTTGAACCAATGTTAAATCAGAAACTGTTGAATTTGAAATTTAGGAAAGTCTGTGTGGGATCCCGAGTTTCTGAGTAAGCTTGAATAGCTGCAGGTGGCTGCTTTGTCCACAAGAGGGGACACATAGAATGTGGGTTTTTCTTTCCCCCCCCCCCCACCCCCCCCCCCGGCACTGCC